TCAACCTACTAAGCACAAAAAGTCAATATCGCCCCCACTATATATGCTCGAACCCATAACCTCTGAGAGAGTAACTAATTGGTATCACTAGACCACAAGGTCACTAGCTCTCGAGATCGATATAATAAATAAAGATTAAAATGATATATATACAGTCACAATAAAATTCACTTTTATCATTGAATTGAGAGACCATTGCATATATATACTATAGCCATAATATGGTCAAGGAAGTAGAGACAATTGAAAGAATATAATTGTAGTGAGGGAGGGACAGATGGGTCAGATATCCACCAAACTTTGTCATTTCATGATGACCTATTCATAAGCATAAAAATGTTATGTGTGATGTAATCTAATCTGATCTTTGTAGGTAGATGAGAAAGAGATACATACATATTATATATATATATATATATATATATATATATTTTGAAAGCTACTGGTTCTATTACATTGTAGTATCTGTTCATATACTTTCTCAACCTACTGAAACACAAAGAACCAATAACGCCTCCACTGAGGCTCGAACTCATAATCTTCCAAATGGAAGTCCAACCCGAATACCATTAGACCACATAGTCCTGGTATATATATATATATATATATATATATATATATATATATATATATATATATATACTGAGATGATGATGATGAATTGAAGAGCTAGCTTAGCTGGCTTTAGTTTACAAGCACATTATTGGATGATGAGAGGTATATATAAGTTTGAATCTCTATGGGCCTCTCACCTTTCTTGCTTGGAGATCGGTGAAAGAGGTATATTGTGTGGACAACAATATCAAATTGACAAAAAAAAAAAAAAAAAAAAAAAGTTTAAATTAGTTACTGAATTACACGTGAAAGTGTAATTGGAACATCTAACTAAAAAAAATTATAATTAGGTTTTAAACTGTCCAAAATTATGTAATTTAATTAAATTTGACATGTTCCTCCGGTCATCGTTGATGTGACGATAATCCTATTAAAAATTTATTATTTTGTATTTATTTTAATTAAAAAAAAACTCATCACCTTCCCGTCTTTGTCTCCGGCCGACGAAGAAAGCTCTTCGTCTCTGACTTGGAGATCGAAGAAGAATTTTCTTCAATTTGTATTTGGCCGGAGCCAGAGACGAAGACGGGAGGGGTGAATTTTTTTTTTTTTTTAAATTATTTTATTTAAAATTATTGAAATAAATTTTAAACTAATAATTTTTTAATTGGATAATTAACACATAAGCAATAATCGGAGAAACATATCAAATTTTAAATAAATTTTAAACTAATAACTTTTTAATTGGATAATTAACACATAAGCAATAAGGGAGAAACATATCAAATTTGGTCAAATTACATAATTTTGAACAATTTAGCACGTAATTATTTATTTTTTATTATTATTATTTTTTTGGATGAGGACGGGGTGGGGGGAAGAGGTTGGATGGTCCAATTGCAGGTTCACGAGGTTGGATGACCAGGGATCGAGTCTCACCAGTGGCAGTGTGGGAACAACCTCTCAAAGTGAGGGGGGTTCCTTGTGCGCAGTGAGCACCGGTCTAGCCTCTATGGTTCATGTTCGGTTGAGTCACCATGATTTACATCCTCCCAAATACTCTGTTGGGCCGGGGTGTGGAGTGCCCTTAAGGTTGAGGTTTCAGCCTTTTGGAATAACGAGTAATTAGGTGGCTAATTTAAACTTTTTTCCTATCAAATACTGACCTTTTTTTTTTTTAAATCTTGAGTATTCGAACCTACACTCTGAAGCTGCTAGCGAAGCAAAGTTGCGTCATTGATTCATTTCTATTGAAAATGCATATGCAAAACATTATTTTTCATCTCATATGCATGCAAATTATTAGTTTAAAAACTTGTATTAGAAACCTGTTGTTATTCCTAACTTCTGGCAAAAACATATTTTCTGTAGACAACCATGACTATTTAAAAAAAAAAAAAAAAAAAAAATCACTGATGCTCAGAAATTTTTTACCATTTTCCAACTAGGAACAAAAAATGTTGTTTTTCCAATTAACAATAACTCTTTCATATTTCATAATTAGAGTTGTTCATTATAATGAATTACAAAGATATATATATTTTTTAAAATTTTATAACCTTTTTTTTTTGTGAATTCTTTCTAAAATAAATATTTTTCTCTCTCTTATCTACTCAGATCATATAAGCTTTAACACAATAATGTACTCCACAGACCACAGCACAATTCTGTCGTTTTTATATTTCAATTTTCGATTGGTGCATGCAGGTCATCATAGTACCCATTATTTATGCTTTCACCTTTCAAGAACAAAAGAATTTGTTGCCCGAAAAAGATGTTTAAGTTAGTGAAGCATTATTTTCGTATTTAAAAGTCATAGGTTTAAGTTTTGTCAGTATTTTATCACATAAAGTGCGTGCTTGGTAAATAGTTGTTAGCTGATTGTGTTAGTGAGTTTGACTAGTTGATTGTAAAAAAGTGTTTGGTAAGTTAATTGTTAGCTGATAACTAATTACATGTAAAATGACTTTCTCAAAAAATTTATGGAAAAGATACTTTGAGCAGTTTTTGAATTTTAGCATTTTGGAGCAATAAGTTGTTACAAAAAGCTAATTAATCAAATATTCATATCGAATGTTTAACCAAGTCAAACATCTAATAGTGATTAAATAAGTCAAAATTGACTGATAAGCTAACTATGTTACCAAATAGGACCAAAGTCTTTCTAGCGCGGTTATTATACAAACGTGATAGTTTACCTTGTTTGCACACCAAGTTAAAGATTTTTTTTCATAATAATAATAATAATAATATTATTATTATTATTATTGTTGTTGTTGTTGTTGTTGTTGTTGTTGTTGTTGTTGTTGTCACTTAATTTAAATATACCAAAACCATGCACTTCATAATTTGGGCCATTTGATCCCATGATGATGATGCCTACTAGTCACAGTTTAATATGATTCACACACTGTAAAGTATGTTTTTAAAAGTCTTTAATTATAATTTTATACTGCTTATATATTTCTCTATAAATTTATATATCTAGGAGTGTTCAATTAACCAAACTAATTTGTTCAGTAATTGAATTATCTCAGTTCGATTGTTGAGCATATAATATATAAAACATAAATATGTACGTACTCCATTTATCAGTGGAATTAGACTTTTAATGTAGATGTCTAGATGGAATACAAGAATCCTTCAATTTTGTTTCGTCACCTAATAAAAATGATTATGGTTCACGTATTGTAATCATCTTAGATTCTTAGGTTAAGAAAGTATTGAGCATATAATATATCAAACAAAAATGTGTAGTCCATTTATTAGTTTTGTCTTTTAGTTAGGATAAAACATATCCTGATTAATGGTTAATAAAATTCGAAATTCACCGAATTAATAATAAATAAATATATATAATATATTATTATAATTTGATTCAAAATTAACACCCCTATATATATATATATTTTTTTTTTGTTATTACAAAGAAAGGGGATATCCATACAATATACGCCTACACTGAAGCTCAAAATCTAGGCCTCCCACATAAGGGAACAATCCGATATCAGTGAACCACAAGCCACTTGGTATTTATTTATTTATTTATTTGATGATGAAAACCACTATTGATATGGGCTTTAAGATCAAGTTGGGCTTAATAAGATGGATCGTACACCACACGAATGGAGTTTGTACTTCATAGAAGAGTGACATAAATATGCAACTGTTATACCATGATGACAAGGATCCCCTTTGTATTATAGATTTATTTAAGGGAAAATGACACTTCTTCCCCCTGAGTTATATACTTATAGTCATTTTTCCCCCTCAATTATTTAGGTAAGCATATTAGCCCTCTCAATTATTTTAAAAGTGATGGTTTTTTTCCTGATATATTAAATTGACATTTCTACCCTTAAAGTAAATATTTTATTTATTTTACTTCTCCAACAAATTATTGCGTATACATAGGGATGACCACGGTTCAGATCAAACTGAACCGGACACTATAGCAATTGAATTAAAAGTTTCCGGTTATGATTCAGATCTAGAACCTAATATTTAGATTTCAATTTATTAAAATTATGAATAAAAAAATTGGATCTTGAACTGTGAATCGGCGGTTCTGGATCCGGTTCGCGATTTTGAACCGTCTTTATTTTAAAATTTTATTTTTTATTTTAAATAGTCTAAATTCAACAATAAATGTATTTTATTTTTTCAGTTCGGTACATGAATCGTCCGTTCCGGTTCGCGATTTTAATAAACTCTAAATATCGAATTTGGATTCTAAATTGTAATTGGAATATTTCGGTTTGGTTGCTATAGTGTTTGTTTGGTTTGAACCAAATTATTGTCATAATTTGTTGGAGAAGGAAAATAAATGAAATATTTATTTTAAATATTTATTTTAAGGGTAAATATGTCCATTTAACATTTCAGGGGGAAAGACAGCCACTTGAATAATTCAGGGGGAGAAAGTGCTATAAGTATATAACTTAGGGGGAAGAAGTGCCACTTTCCCTTTATTTAATTCAAATATTAATAAATTATTTATCTATTACAATTAACATATTTTGTGTTTTCAATTTATTTACAGGCACATAATCTATTAACTGTAGGCACATAATAGGTTAACTATAGACACATAATTTGAATGTCATTTTAAACTAAGATCTATTGTGCAAGGTGAACCCTAGTCTATGATATAATTTTCTATAAGTAGGAGCTTGACATACAACCAAAAGGCGGCAACGACAAGTGTAGAACTAAATAGAGTTGTCAAAATTGTATTGAAGTACATGTTCCATCTCAACTAAAAGTATAAGCTGATAGTTGGATTGCACACTGGGGTGACGTAGAACCCATAGGTCTGGCTACGGTAGCTGCAATGTGACAGTTTTACCCTGATGGATACCAAATACTAGTCCTCCCACCTAATAAGCCGCTGAATCACTGTGATTTACCTTTCCACTATTTTATGGACAAGAGTGTGGAGGCTCGAGAAGAGAAAATTTTGCATTTTATAGACAAGAGTTATCAAAATGGGTTAGCATTTTCTAGGCCCAATCTTTTGGCAAGTTAATGTAGGTATATTCATATATACACATGTATATATACATAAGTAATGTGTATTTTTGTAACATAATAATGATTATATATGTTACATATAAAACTTGTATATGTATAGTATATAGTAGACAAGTAGTATTGAAGTAGAATGAGCAATCATTTGACTTTATCCAAGCAACTAGTTTCCATAATGTAGTTCCTCAAAAGTCTTGTATTAGATTCATCCATCATCTGCAATAAATTAAATATATAAGTTATGATAGAAAACAGTGTTGCAAAAATTGCGTCTAGACGCCGATTAATTGGCGCCTAGGCGCTAGGCGGTCGGCCTCCTAGGCGTTTTAGGCGTCCGCATAGACGCTCTAGGCGCCCGCCTAGGCGTTTTAGGCGCTCGTCTAGGCGGTCCTCAGGCGCATAGAGGGCACCTAGTGATTTTTTCAACGTGATAGAAAATTAATTGATAATTAATAATTGAGAAAGAAAGATGAGAAGAACATATGATATATGATCATCATTATTATTTCATCACCTTAGATGCTACTTTCTTCAAGTTGTCCCATTCAAAATCTTCTTTGCAGTATGCTGAACGAACCTTCATTCATTCATACATATTGCACCCATATATCTCAGTTTCAAAAATGGATTATTGAACGAAGATCTCAAGAAAGCAAGCGAAAATGTCAAGAAATTAATTGAAATTAAACTCACCTCCATTATCCTCAATGCTGCAAAGCAAAGCAAACATGAGATTAGAATTTGGTTTGGTACATATTGTATAACACTCATGTAAAAAAGTGTATTTAATTAGATAGACAGATGATTTTCAAAAAAAAAAAATAGATAAACAGATGAGATAAGTCAACGTATTCTTACATGCATGACTACTATTCTCATGTGATGAGGTAGGCCATACATATATATATACGCGTTGGAGAAGTTTGGTTTCTTTTTAAACAGATCTCGAGTTCTAGACGTACTCATGAACGAATAATATACTTATAAGATTGGGAGAGTTTGTTCGTTTTTTGTAGTTTAGCGCTTAATCAAAAGTAGAGTGCTATAAGGAAAGTGTGATTTCGGCCATTCAATAGTACAATTAGAGTTGGTTGTTTTAGTCTTGAACTATCATAAAGTAATGTTGAACAAATGTCACCCTAAATTATTTTAACTAAAAGTATTTTTACGCGCCACATATATTACATAATAGTAGACTTTTAGCATAATGTGCCTGATATCAAATTAAAAATTATTCTCCATCTCAACTAAAAATCTAAACTGATTGAGTATAAAAAATAAATCAAATCATGTATTTTAGCATGAATTCAAAAAATCTATTGTTATTTTAGTCTCTAATTAGTGCACATGCATGTATTTCTAAACCACAATAATTTTAGAATAAAGGTAACATGTACACACTTATCATGCATGATAATAAAATAGTAAAATGATTGGGAGAAGAAAATAGTAAAATGATTAAATTAAACAAACCCTATCAATTTATCGGTCCAAAAAACACAAAAAGGATATGAATATATACCTAATTTCTGATGCCTTGACGATTCACGCATCAAATCAGCACAAAACTTATCTCCATCATTCAAAGGATGTCTCTCCACAAACTCCATCAGCTCCTCGTACGCCTCAGGATTGTAACTCTGCACCCAACACATGCTCCAAACCTTAGTGCGTATGTTTAGCATATATATAATATATATAAACATAAATGTGTAATTCAACTATCAGTTTAGACTTTTAGTTGAGATAAAACATGTTTCAATTTGATATCACATCAAGTCTTATGCCAAAGTTATGGGTTTGAAACTCCTTATCGCCTATGGGCAAGGGTGTGAGCATATATCCATTAATGTGTATCCAACTATTAGCTTAGACTTTTAGTTGAGTTGGAGCACATGCTTCAATTTGGTATCAGAGCTAGACCAAAAGTTATGGGTTCGAATCTCAACGTCACTGGAACACATGTTGAGTTAACTATTTAATCATTATTAGTTGTTTGACTTCGTTAAACATTCAATGAGTGTTTTTGATTATTAGTTTTTTTGTAACAGTTTATTGTTCCAAATTAAAATGTTAAATTCAAAAAATGTTCAAAGCAGATTTTTCAATCAATTTTTTGAGAAAGTCATTTTACATGTAATCAACTATGAGCTAACAGTTAATTTACCTAACATTTTTCCAATCAGCTAATGTTATCAATTAATCAGCTAAATATATAATCCAACTATCAGCTTAAATTTTATGGTGTCATAAGCCGTTTAACTATTAGTTTAAATTTTTAGGTGAGATGGAACACATGTTTCAATTATGTAATTATACATATGTTTGGAAACGACGACAGATTAAAGGAACAAAACATGGTGAAATTAAGGAATTGAATTGAACCTGGAGCTGAGCAGCGACAATCTTAACGGCGACGAAGTTGAAGAAATGATGAAGGTGTTTCGCCGCTGTCTTTTCCGGCGAAGCTCCGTGACCGGGGACGTACATCTTGTGGCAATGGACGCGGGTCGGAGGCTGCGGCGGCGGAGTTCTGTGCTTCCATGGCTGAAATGGGAGAGCTTGAGGCTTTGATGAAGGAGAAAGGGAGAGGCGAGAGATAGTGAAGACGATGGATGACTCCATGGATTAGTACAGTCTTAACACTTTGCTGGGAATATAATAGTTGGAGACTCTTATGGAAGCAAATGAAAATATCTCTAGTCTATTGCTAAAATATCTTCATTGTTGTTCTTGGATAGACCCGGTTTAACTAGACTCAATTAGTTTTATTTTGTGAGATTGGTTATATTTGAACCTTTTTAAAAAGTCTTTTGGTATTTGATTCATACTTTTAAAGAGGTTTTAAAAGTATACTAGTATTCGATTCAGATAAGTCTCTAAAAGTCTAATGGTATTCAAAATCTTATTAGTTTTTGTAGATTTTTCCTTCACGAATATAAACAGTTAGAAATTTAACCTTCCAACCCTAAATTTTTCAATTGGTAAGGAAAATGTTTTTTCTTTTTTCCTTCTTGATTTTCTCCATGATGTAGTTTCACTCATTGGGTGCCAATGAATTAGCTTACCCCATCACTAATTAAAAAAATAAATTTAACTACCAATAAGATGATGTCATGAGGGAAAGTTTTTAGATCATTTTATAACATTGTTCTATCGGTAAAATGATGTCGGGAAGTAAACATTATTCTTTAAATTTTTTAATTTTTTTTAAAAAGTCTTTGATTCTTGACAATCGTTATGCTATGGATCCGTGTCCAGCATACATTGTGGATACGGAACAGTGCCGTAAGTGGCACCGTTATCTTTAATTTTTTTAAAAAAAAAAATTTCAGACCGCTTTGTTATAGAAGCATATGTTCATAATTTTATCACTATATGTTATAATTGTAAGTTCATAATGTTAGAGCTCTGTGTTCATAATTCCATAATTGCACATTCATAATTTTATAACTGTACATTCATAATTCCATAATTGTACATTCGTAATTCAATAACTGTAAATTCATAATTTTCGAAGCTCTATGTTCACAATTTTAGAGCTCTATATTCATAATGTTAACACTATATGTTCATAATGTCAGAGCTCTGTGTTCATAATTCCATAATTGTACATTCATAATTTCATACATGTACATTCATAATTCCGTAACTGTACATTCATAATTCAATAACTGTACATTCATAATTTTCGAAACTCTATGTTCACAGTTTTAGAGCTCTATGTTCATAATTTTATCACTGAACAAATTGCACTTTTGGTCGTGTGAGTATTAGGGTACTGGCAATTTGAATACGTGACTTTCAAAACTCCCAATTTAAACCTTTAACTATGCATTTTTTGGCAGATTTGGTCCTCCGGACCAAATTGCCGGCCAATTTTGACCAAAAAATGATTTAATGGTTCGAATTATTTTGTGATGAGGGTAAAAACGTTATTTCACTCCCTTCTTCTTCATTCTCCCTTTCTTCTTCGTTCTTCTTCTTCTTCTTTTTCTTCACCGCATTATAGCCAAATGGAATCATATTAATGGCCAAATGGAATCAACGCATTCAACTACCCAATTGATCGTATTGAAATGCAATACTTGTAGTCTTTTAATTGTTCGATCATTTGGCCATAATGCGGTGAAGAAGAAGAAGAACGAAGAAAGTTGTTCGATCACCGGCCGAAGAAGAAAGTTCTACATCTTTTAATTGTTCGATCACCGGCCGGCGCCTCGTCCTCCTCGCTGGTGTAGTCCTCGTGCTTGGGCACCGGAGCGATCAATCTTCGGTCATCGTCGGCACTAACATGGTTCTTCTGGCTACTATCATCATGGTCGGACGTGGAACAAAACATCCTAAAAGACATCGAAAAAGACGGCGAGAGATGCAGTATCTGCAGGCGGCGATCTCGGAGGCAATGAGGCTGTACCCGCCGGTGCCGGTGGACACGAAGGCCTGCCTGAAAGATGACGTCATGCCGGACGGCACGTTCATCGGAAAAGGGTGGTAATTGCACATTGCACATTCATAATTCCATAACTGTACATTCGTAATTCAATAACTGTAAATTCATAATTTTTGAAGCTCTATGTTCACAATTTTAGAGCTCTATATTCATAATGTTATCACTATATGTTCATAATGTCAGAGCTTTGTGTTCATAATTCCATAACTGTACATTCATAATTTCATACATGTACATTCATAATTCCGTAACTGTACATTCATAATTCAATAACTGTACATTCATAATTTTCGAAACTCTATGTTCATAATTTTATCACTATATGTTCATAATTCTAAGCTCATAATGTCAGAATACTGTGTTCATAATTTCATAACTGTACATTCATAATTCTATAACTGTATATTCATAATTTCATAATTGTACATTCATAATTCCACAAACGAATAAAGTTGTTAACGCCTTAACGGCGAGACAAAATCATTTTTTTAAATTGAAATGTCGTCGGTTTTCCTGAAAACGGCGTCGTTTTAGACTCGTGTCCACAATGCATAGTGGACACGAGTCCACAGCATAATTTGCCGATTCTTGATGCATGGGCCACGTATATTGGGCTGGCTAGTATATCATGGACTATGATGAAGTTTTAGCCCAATAATGATTCCAATGGGCCGGCCCATTACTGTTCATTCAATCACTAAATCTTTAAAGAAAATATTTAAACAAGTATTTTACTACCTAGTGCTTTAGGAGAACAATTGTTATACCCTGGACCATGGTCCACATTGCAAGGTAGTTGACCCGATCCAAAATACACAATTTACATATTAAATGTTCATAATTTATATAGTGAATGTTCACAATTTACCTTTTACAAAATTGTAACCATTCAGTATGTAAATTATATATTTTGGACCCGAGTCCACAGAATAATTTGCCTGAGGAGAATTCTCGTTTGTAAATGTGTTAAACAATAAGCAATTTAGGCAAATTATACCATGAATTAGAATCTACCTTACATTATTGTAGTCTGTAGATCATGGTTCAAACTAACATTTAGGCTGTCTGCATTTAACAAGTATTTATTTTACTTTGGTCTATTGTGTAACTATATGGCTAAGGAGGGAGACATTAAAGATGTCTAGAAAATAGAATGAAAAAAAAGTCTTAAAACATGTTTAATTGTGTTTGTCACACCTTTTAGAATAAATCTCAAGCACTCAACACCCACAACAATAGCGATACATCTAACGGCTAATCACATCATGAGGAGAAAATGTTTGCAATCCAAGCCAAGGGTCAACTAATCAAAATATATATATTTTCTCATGCCAGACATCTTGTGCTCAGATAATAGTTATGTGGCTCTCATCGAAAAAAGGTCATAGACTCATAGGATCGAACCCCAATGGTGAAATATTGACTCTTTGAACTGCAACAATTAGAGAAAATATAAAACAGATACTACCTTATAAATTGTAATAGAGTTGATACTATGTATCGCCTTCATCAGGTATCGTAAAAATGATGATCCTTCTTAAACTCACTATTACATGCAATTTTTTTAGATATAGTTGTCATCTTCAAATCACATAAAAAAAAATTGCTCATATTGATACTATGATTATGTTTGGCAAACCTAGTTGAAAAGGTAACTGAAAGCTTAAAGCTTAAAAGGAGCTGAAAAGCTATTAGCTGGGAGATGAAAATTGAAGAACTGTTAAATTAGCTGTTATGCTTGAAAGTGTTTGATAAGATGAGCTTTTTGATAAGTTGATAAATTTTCTTCCATAGAGAAACAACGGCAGCAGATATTAACTTTTTGAATAGAAAAAATATAAAACAGATACTACCTTGTAAATTGTAATAGAGTTAATACCATGTATCGTCTTGATCAGGAATTGTAAAAATAATGACCCTTCTTAAACTCACTATTACATGCAATTTTCTAGATATAGTTGTCATCTTCAAATCACATAAAAAAATATTAAAAACAAAAAGTGCCCATATTGATACTATATCCAAATGACAAAGCCTATTTCTTGATCACATAACTCAAATCTTTATTTTATTTTATTTTATTTATTTCTCTTGAACTTTCACATCACACTCACCATTCCTATAAACATGTCATATGTAACGTGTCCATGCAGCAGCATTAATTATCATATATATATATATAATTATTTAGTAATTAATTTAATTATTTCTGTTTTATTTTTTCTTCTCCCCATCTTTTTTCGGTAGCTTGCAATTAATGAACTCCCATCCTATTAGTTGGCCACGAAATGGAAACGTTTTCAAAGAAATAAAGTCAATCACTAGATCACCTAAAATTTCGTCCATAAGTTTGGTGAATAGAAATTTTGTACATTTCCATTCCGGATTTGAGCGAGTTAATTATAGATCAAATAAATTAATTAATTTATCTTATTGTAATTCTTTGTCATTTAAGATTATAAGACAACTTCACCAAAAACATATCTTCATGTAGTAATTACATATTTTTCAATAAATTAAAGAAATTTCAGTGAGCTAAATTGATTAACTAACATTTTGACAAAGTATTTTTTTGCCAAAATTTTTTAAATGAACATATACTTCTCTGCCAAAAAAAGAAAAGGTAACAAATAGTACATGAAATAATTTTACACAGGCGAAAAAGAAATGTTTCAATTGAATGATGTGTTTCATCCCAATTAAATAGTTGGAGTGCATATTTGTCACGCATCCTCACATGTGTAGACAATCTTGTGCTTGTATTAAATTGAAAAAATGTGTTTTGTTTTAATTAAAATTTTAAATTAATAATTGAACCACATATTTATTGTTTATATATGATATGTTTTGCAGTTTGATACTTGCAACTATCAACTATTTAAGAAAGGATATGTTGAGCTCGCACGGGCTTAACTCAATGATTTCAGTGGACAATATTTGAGAGAAGAGACCAAGGTTTGAACCTCGGCGGCGGCAGTGTGAGAATTATGTCCAAAGTGGACAGATCTCTTGTACGTATCGGCATTTGGCCATGTCCGCTGAACCCATTAAGTCACTGTGATTAGTAGTGGGTAGAGTATATATAACGTATTAGAACATTATGAATTCAGTTTTTACTACCATTTTAAATATTAAAATAATATTATCAATATTTATTATTACACTGGAGTTTACCCATAATGTCAAATCCGTTGAAAACTTGATTTAAACTTATTATGCATGCATGTGTTTAAGGTAAGCAAGAATCATATTCAACATGTTACATGTAAGCTGTCGGCATTCTTTTTTAATTGCGAGAAAATTCCACCGCCATTAATTATCTGAGAGAATGCGCATAATAAGCAATTGTTATACTTCCTATCATGGACCAAAGTACATATTATATTATGGATTTTCATTTAAAAATTATGTTTTCCTAGTTAATATATTATGTGTTTTCAGTTAATAAATTATATATATCTGTAAATAAATTGAATGTATATAATTTGTTAATTACATAAACATAACATGTTTATAACATATTATTTATTTACGGTTAACATATTATGTGCTTAATTGCAGATATATAATTTGAATATCATTTTTAACCACAATTTATAATGCGAGATGAAATCTTGTTCATGGTATAATTTGCTCATAGTACGATCCGCTTCCCTATCTAATAGCCCACTTATATACAATAATTGAAATAAATTAAATTGTTCCTCCATCCTCATTCAAATCGCCATGGCGGTTGTCAAACAATTATAGCTATCTTCATTTGGCATCTTATTTTATATATATAATGCTCAAAATAATAATTGTATTCACAATATTACTTAGACCATTGATTTTTGAGTGGTAAAATATTTTTTTTTAAGAATAATAGAAAATTAAGTAAAAGAAACAAAATATATCTTTAAAAAAAATTAAAGAATTGAAATAAAAGCTATTATTTATTACCATTTAATTGATTAGCACTACTAATTGAATGAACTAATTATTAGGTATTTAGGTATTCCAATTTCACAATTTGATTGAAACATCAAATATGTGGATGTTTTGTTTTTGTTTATTTTTTTTTTTTAAATCAAATATGTGGATAGGTAGCCACGGTTCACACACAAAATTGACGCGGCTCAAACTATAAAAAGCCGGTGGTGATGTGGGCCCCATACCGCCATACGTACGATGATTAACAAAGTTGGGGTATTAATTTTGTGAAAAGTTTATTTCAAACAAAGAGTTTTGTGAAAAGTATGAAAGTGACAGGCTTTGTCCAACATGTTTTTTTTTTTTTTTTTTTTTTTTTTTTTTTTTTTTTTTTTTGAGAAGTTAAATTATATGTAGTTTCAAATTATACTCTCTTACTTTCACTTCATGATATGACGAATAATGATATGTTATTTTTATCATATGAGACTCAATAAAAATATTTACAATTAAAAATTTGTGAGATATAGAGAATAGAAAATAAGAGTACCATTAAGCATTTTCAATTAATTAACTTAACTTCCTATCGGATTTTTTGGTTCGTAGTAAAGTAAAATTTATAAATTTATTTTAGATTTATTGATCAGTTAAGTTGTGTTTGATGATAATATGTTTTAGTTAGTTGTTTGTTAAATTAGTGGGTCTTTTAATGTCACAATCAACAAAATAAAATCTTGTAGAATTATATGAAACTTGATTTATATTCTTAAAGGGTGTTTAGCTCACAAAATATAAAATTGTATTGGGGTAATAGGATTTGTGGCCACAAAAAGATAGTGTGAGATTACATGAATATAAGACTACATTAATTATGTATTTAGTTGAGATTGTTGGAATGTAAGATTAACATATTTAGTTGGGGTTAATATTATAGAATATAGAATATGTTGTTCCATTTAATTTCATTTCTTAAAGGAATCAGACTCAAATATGCTATTGAGCTACTCGCTAATTTGCAATTAGGTCATCTAATAAAAAAGAAAAAGAAAAAAAGAATAAGAGTCAAATAGGCCATTCAACTGCACACCAAACTGCAATTCGATAATTGAACTAAAAAAAACGCAATTGGGCATCTTAACAATGCAAACTCATGCAATTAAACCCAATTGGAAACATGATGACATGACGGTTATCGAATTTAAAAATATTTTTGTAAATAATTATAAATCAAATAATTTTTAAATTTTTATTTAAAAAAAAAAAGAAAAAAAAAAAGAAACTCCTTCGGAGACGAAGGGGCAGCTTTGTCTCAAGGCGTCTCCATGACTGGGGAAATAGCTTGAGACGTTGCCTGCCGCTTCGTCTCCGACAGAGACAAATATTTTTTTTTTTTATAAATTTTTTATTTATTAGTTGCAATGTAAATTTATTATCCACTCCAAAATATATGATGCAAAATTAAACAACACCTCGCAAGGCTCAAACTATCTTTCTTTCGGCAGTATATAATATATGACTTGAACAGAGATTGGGATGGCCCACCAGAATTCGCAGAATTGCCTATAGATGCTGCTGGATGGTCCCACCAAAAGTAGCCGTTACAGTGCTATAGTATTGATAATGAATTAGTGATGGTTGCCGACTTAAAAGTAGAAACTCTAATTAAACACGATATGGACACTACTTTTATTTTTAGTTATTTATAAAAAATGGAAAAAATTTAATACAACGTAAAATAATTAAGATTTAATAAATTACAATTTAAAATAAATTAATTTTTTAAAAATAAATAATTTAGTACAAGTATTGGTGCTCAAAGTAGTTATATCAATCTACACTTAAATATTGTTTTTACAACCAACAATGTTATTTGTACAAAACAATATAATCTTAATTAATTTTATATTATTCCATATAACTCTATCTGATTAATTTTTAATGTGATCAGTTTATTATTTTATCATCTGTAAGTCATAATAATAATTTAATAAAAGCAACATTTTATTTAAGAACATCCACTAATATAAATAAAATATAATATGCTCGACGAAATGTATCATGTGTTTTGTTAATAAATAAAGTAAAAGATTGTCAAACGAAAAGTATAATGACGATATTGTATTTTATAATGCACACCGTACATTATCTGAGTGTTAAAACATAAATCATACGGAGTATATGTTTATTTTTTTGAAAATAAATCATATATGTTTATATACCTTACAGATTATATTATTTTTAACTTTAAAAATGATACTTTTTTACTCCTGAATTATAGAAAAATATCATTTTTGTCACTCAATTACATCGAGATTACTTTCGTCTCTCAACTATCTATAAAGTTTTTTTTTTTTTTTAAAAAATTATTATCCGTTCATATATTTTCTCAACCTACTGACACATTGAACTCACAATCTTCTAAATGGAAGTCAAACTCGAGTACCATTAGACCACATAATCTTGGTGATTTATTATTTTAATATAATATAAAAAATAATTTAAACACGAAAAGTGCTACCGGAGTATTTTATTAATTTATTATTTTAATATAATATAATAATATAATAATATAATTAGTATATTTTTAATTAAAAGTGATTATTTGGTAATTACAATAATCTACGGTTCGTTGGATGCGCAATATATATATACATATATGTAAGCTAACGTCAATATGTGATAAAGATTCAGTTCCCCAGGAAAAACGCTTAGAACGGCACCGCCCCCATGTTCTTCTAGTCTCTTCGAAGCTCAGCAAACACTCTTCTTTCTTCTCCTTTTTCTCCTTTGCTGATAACGAGGCCATAGTAGATTGTTGGGACCATTCGTTTCTTGAGTTTTTACAGAGAGATTTGGCTGTATTTCGCGTTGCTTCGAGTTCAAAGTGGAGGGTTCACTGAGATTTCGTTCATCTCTTCGATCGGAGGGCTCTCGTTACGGCTCTATTCCGCTCCTTGCTTCCTCCTTTACTGCTTCGCAGTGAATAGCCGTGAAAGTACGAACTTTCCCCTACTTTGTTAGTGGTAATTTGAGAACATGTTAATGGGGTTGTGTCCTTTTGAATCGAGATGGGGTTTTTCTTTCTTTTTAATGGGTATTGAGCATAGCAAAGATGGTGTCTTTTTCATTGATTAATTGGGCTGTTATTTGTTATTTCTCTTTTTGCTTGTTCTCATGTGTAATTTGTTGTTCTGGAATCAAGCTGGCATCTTAAACATGAATGTTCTGTGGCAAAGATTGTGTCTTTTTCCTCTGTTGATTGGGGGGTGGAGGGGGTAGGTTTTTTCCTTTTCTGTATTGGTCCTCATGCATGAATTGTTTGTTTTTCTGTATGTATATAAGTATATTCATGTATTTGACTTGTGGAAAGATGCATTGTAATGGAGACATGAATATTTAGGTAAAATATTGGAAAGAGTACAAGAATCACCGTAATCTGGACTTTGTACAGCCAATAGCAATGTTGTGAACTTGTTTTGGAGTTAATTGATTGTCCATATGTGAACATGAATCTTAAATCTTGATCTAGGTTGTTCTGGTTTGGCTTGTTTATAAGACCGAATGTCTGAAAAGAAGCTCTGTTGTTTATGCCGCTGCTAGATGGCGACGTTTGCAGATATAGGGCTTGCAGCTGCTATTAACATTCTTACTGCGCTTATATTCCTTGTTGCATTCGCAATTATACGCCTTCAGCCCGTTAACGATAGAGTCTATTTCCCGAAATGGTATCTCAAGGGGTTGAGAGATAGCCCCACGCACTCTGGGGCGTTGTTAAAGAGGTTTGTCAATTTGGATTGGAGAGCTTACGTGAGGTTTCTGAATTGGGTGCCCGATGCACTTAGAATGCCCGAACCCGAGCTTATTGAACATGCTGGACTTGACTCTGCGGTATATTTGAGGATTTACTTGCTAGGGTATGCTCTTGGAGCGTTTAATCTTATTCGGAATTTTTCAAAGCACTTGTGTTGGACTCTCTATGGTTATTATCTGAGCTTTTGCCAATTTTTGTTTCCACGGTTTTTTCAGGCTTAAGATTTTTGTTCCTTTGGCATTGCTCTCATGGTCTATCCTCGTACCTGTTAACTGGACCAATAACACCTTGAATCGATCGGATTTAACCCACAGTGACATTGATAAGCTCTCTATTTCTAACGTTCCACTTGGATCACCCAGGTTAGGAACTTTTAATTCTTTTTCTAAACTCATATGTGTTGCTTTTAACAGATATTTACTCTTTCATACATTTGAATTAAGAGGAACGAGCAGTCTAAATGAGACTTACGAAAGATCCTCATTTAGTTTTGGTCATTGATGTGGGTTGATGGTCATTTAGCAAAGAACCTTTTGAATGATAAAAAACAAGTGTTTCGATTATGTTTTCGTCAAGTATTACTGTTGTAAGTTGTATATGTATAGAGATCGTCTACCTCTAGTTTTGCTAAGATAAGTGCTCGGTACAATGATCAGAGAATATTGTTGTATGTAGGTTTTGGACTCATATAGTAATGGCATATGCTTTTACGTTTTGGACATGCTATGTTCTTCGAATGGAGTATAAAAAAGTTGCGGATATGCGTCTCCAGTTTCTAGCTTTGCAAGGGCGCCGCCCTGATCAATTTACGGTATGGTACATGTTTCCTTACCGAATCCCTTTTAGGATGGATTTAGGTTTAACCATAGAGTATCACAATTCTGTAGCGTTTAACCAGCTTGGTTGGCGTGAGTGGCCGTGCACTCTCATCCCTTAAGAGAGGGTCGGGAGTTCGAACCCCCTCTCATATGGAAAAACCAATCTGGCCAGCACTTTGCCCCTTAATTGGGCCATCCCGGTGCGAATGGGGATTGGGGATTAGTCAGAGTATGGTACGGGCTTAAAGGTGCCTCCTATAGTTAGGGTCTGCTCAGGACACCTCATGGCCTGACCAAAAAAAATGTGTAGCGTTTTCAAAACTTATGCACATTAGTTCATGACTTTGTTATCGTGATAGCAACTCTTATATGCATCATATGCTTACTTCTCGCTATGTTTTTTACAGGTCCTTGTGAGGAATGTTCCCCCAGACCCTGATGAATCAGTCAGTGAAGCGGTGGAGCATTTTTTCCTGGTTAATCATCAAGATAATTATTTAACGAATCAGGTCCGTCTTATCTCTTTGCATCACTCGGACTTTTAGTTCCCATCGATGCGATTATGTAGAAGGGAAAAATGTGTCTTGGGTTTTCGTTCTTGCATCGTTTTCTTATATTAGAAAATCTCTGCAGGTTGTATACAATGCAAACAAACTTGCGAAATTGGTCGAGCAAAAGAAAAGTAATCAAAATTGGCTAGATTATTACCAGTTAAAATATTTGAGAGGGAATCAATCGAAACGCCCCAGAATGAAGGTATAGTTGGGGGCAACCTTGATCTTTTAAGAAGTGTTATTTTTCTTGCTTCAGTGCTTTTAAATTCGCGTCTTCCTTTTCGAACTTGCAGACTGGTTTTCTTGGCCTCTGTGGGCAGAAAGTGGATGCAATCGATCATCAAATTGCTGAGATTGAAAGATTATCGAAAGAAGTAATTACTAATATTTTCGCTTTCTTTGATTTACTAATATAAAGTAATTACTTTATATGTTGTTTCTTTACTTTTACGGATTTTCTAAGTCTAGTTTTGGATGTAGATTGAGGAGGAAAGAGATCGGGTTAAAAACGATGCAAAAGCTATCATGCCGGTAGCATTTGTCTCCTTTAAAACTCGATGGGCGGCCGCGGTTTGTGCGCAAACACAACAATCCCGGAACCCGACATTGTGGCTGACAGAGTGGGCCCCAGAGCCACGTGATGTATACTGGGAAAACCTGGCGATTCCCTATGTTTCACTGACGATTAGGAAGCTCATAATCGGAGTTGCCTTCTTTTTCCTCACGTTCTTTTTCATGATTCCAATCACGTTTGTCCAATCTCTCGCTAATATCGAAGGAATCAGGAAAAAGTTACCATTTTTGAAGGAAATCATCGACACGTAAGTGAAGTTATTTATTCAAGGTTTTCTTGTTTACATAGGAAAAACTAAAAACGGGATTTCTTGTTTACTAATACTGCCCTAACTTCCGTGCAGACCTTTCGTCAAGTCATTCATTCAAGGTTTTCTCCCCGGGATTATTTTAAAGATTTTCCTCATACTTCTACCGACTATATTGATGCTGATGTCCAAATTTGAAGGCTTTACGAGCAAATCATCTTTAGAGCGAAGATCCGCGTCCCGATATTATATTTTCAACTTCGTGAATGTTTTTCTTGGTAGCGTAATTGCTGGAGCTGCGTTTGAACAATTAAACAGTTTCATCCATCAATCCGCAGACGAGTATGTTATTCCAACATAAACGCTTTCGATTTCGGTCCATTAATTGGTTTTATTTGTGGAATTGTTTCGATAAATCAGTAGTTTTTATTTTGCAGGATCCCTAAAACCATTGGTGCTGCGATCCCGATGAAAGCGACTTTTTTCATAACCTATATAATGGTTGACGGGTGGACTGGAATTGCCGGGGAGGTCTTGAGGTTGAAAGCGTTGATACTCTTCCATCTGAAGAATAGTTTTTTGGTTAAGACCGAAAAGGATCGGGAGGATGCGATGAATCCCGGGAGCCTTTGTTTCAATTTTAACGAACCTCGAATACAATTATACTTCCTATTAGGCCTCGTCTATGCTGCTGTCACGCCTATCCTTCTTCCCTTCATTCTCGTATTCTTTGCCTTCGCATACGTCGTGTTTCGGCATCAGGTACTGCGTTTCTCGACATAATTAATGTTATGGAATATATATTTGATATATGGAATCTCTATAGATTAGGCAGTCTTAGGGATTTAGGTAGGTAAGGGCGTAAGGTATATGGAAACTTGTTTCCTATTTGTAGTATTCTATGTTGAGCATATAACCATTAATGTGCAATCCAACTATTAGCTTAGGCTTTTAGTTGAGATGGAGCACATGCTTCAATTTGGTATCAGAGCCAGACCAAAGGCCGATAAGCGACTACGGTCCACGTGTTGCTTGGAACCCACCGCACACGTGAGGGGGCGTGTTGAGCATATAACCATTAATGTGCAATTAGCTTAGGCTTTTAGTTGAGATGGAGTACATGCTTCAATTTTCTAGCACCTATTTATAGGGCTTTGTATTCTCTTTTCTATATGACAGTTTGAGACAATATACGACAGCACATTTAGAAACTCTCTCTTTACTTTCGTAACTGTGTATGTAGGGTTCAAATATCGTTTACCGATTTCTGTCTTACGTTGCAGATTATAAATGTATACAACCAAGAGTATGAAAGTGCGGCAGCGTTCTGGCCTGATGTCCACGGAAGGATCATATTCGCGTTAATCTTCTCGCAGGTCTCGACATTGGGATTGTTAAGCACAAAACACGCTGCTCAGTCTGCTCCATTCCTCATCGTCCTTCCGGTATTAACCATCACGTTCCATTTGTACTGCAAAGGGCGCTACGAATCTGCTTTTACCAAACATCCACTACAGGTATTCACTAAAACTTAAACTTGATGAGCTCGGTTTTGCCTTTGTTCTAAGCTCTTTTCCGTGATCGGGGTGTTTGGTAGGATGGAATGGCAATTCCATTACTAGCAAATTTCATGGAATTTACAATTCCATTATTTGGTCGGAGGGAATTGCAATTCCTAGGGCCCCCGGAATTGGAATTCTACAGCAAATGACTACTTTGCCCTTATTATTATTATTACACAAGGGCATTTTAGTCTTTATTCACTTCTCTTTCAATTCTCAGTAATTCTATTCCTGACTACCAAACAATGGAATTTGAATTGCAATTCCTAGGGTCCCCCGGAATTGGAATTCCACAACAAATGACAACTTTGCCCTTATTATTATTATTATTACATAAGGGCATTTTAGTCTTTATTCACTTCTTGCCTTTCAATTCTCAGTAATTCTATTCCTGACTACTAAACAATTGAATTTGAATTCCTACTCTATTCCACCTTATTCATTCGGGAATTACAATTCCTTCCCCCTAATTCCCTCCTGCCAACCAAACGTCATATAAAATGACAACGCTTTTTGGGCTCTTCCAGGAAGCCAAGATGAAAGACACTTTAGAACAAGCAAGGGAACCGAACTTCAACCTAAAACCGTACCTTCAAGACGCATATATCCATCCCGTTTTCAAAGGCAACGAGGACGAGTATGACTACGACGGCATCAGCGAAAAGGCGGACGAAGAGAACGTGCTGGTCCAAACGAAACGTCAGTCTCGGAAAAACACCCCAGCTCCCAGCAAAGGCAGCGGTGGCTCCTCGCCATCGTTTCGGGTGGAGGTGATTCATGAAAAGGAAAAACCTTGATCTTTTTATATACACTGCAAAATGTGATATACTAGGTACCACCGCCATGTAAATTATAGCAAGAGCTTTTCTTTCAAAATTTTGTGTGTATAATCATGTAGTTGCAGGTTCACCATGTGGAGACTTTTTTCCCTACTGGTTCACCAACTGGAAAGGCATAATTCATCAATGGGAAGTGTGTGATTCATTCTTTTACTCTGTTCATTAATTTGCTTCCTTGTTACTAAAGTATTCATAGAACCATTTTGATGTAAACTAGAAGTTGGTCTGCCCTTTTAATACATGGATTGTGAAATGACTTGGTTCCTATTTTTTGGTAGGATAAATTGTGTGTGTGTGTGTTTTTATTTTTTTATTATTTTTTTTAATTTGGGGGAGGGGGTTGGCGAGGATAACTTACAATTACTATTTAAGAGTGTATATAGTATAAATTTCATTCTTGTATACTATGTAAATTTCATTCTTGTGTATTAGTTGGAGCGTTATGCTGTGTAACCGTGTGCATCATGCAAGGTGCAATTGAATTCATAATTTCTATACTATAGATTCATAATTTTTATACTGTAGATTCATAATTTCTATATTATAGAAGTATAGATTCGTAATTTCTAAACTGTATAGTTATCAAATTATGAACATATAGTTCAGAGATTTGTGTATAAGAGAACAATTGAGAATATGAAGATTGAAAATTATGAACATAGAGTTTTGTAATTGTGAATATAGAGTTCAATAATTATAAATATATAGTGTAGAAATTATGAATCTATAGTATAGAAATTATGAATCCAATTCATGGTTGTACGGCATAATTTGCCGTATTAGTTATAGATCACATATGAGAGACAAATTGACACTAGAAAGGTCATGTGCGAATCAATCGAGAGGTGTTGTAAACTTTATTATTGTGTTATAATTATAAATTATATAAGAGAGATAAATTAACACTAGAAAGATCATATGTGACGAATTTAATTGAGAAGTGTTAATAACAATCAAGTTAGTGAACTTTTAAGTACGAAAGTAATGTTTTATTCACTTCTTTTCGCACAACGAAGGTTAATATTTACACATTTCTTTTATTTTTTTTTTGACAAGCAATTTTTTTTCCTCTTTTCCCCTCCTATGTGGCACAAAAAACCTAACAAAAAATTTATGCAATTGGAGATATTCTTAGTGCAATTTACTTCACTGATGTGGTTTGCGAATTATTACATATGAGCGAGATTTATTCTATACACATCTTCCAATAGTTATTGTGAGTTTCTTTCGTCATCCAAAAAATTGTGTATTTGAGGCATGTAATTATGATTTTTGAATGTTCTCTAAGCTAGGTAAGATTTTACTATTCGAAACAAAATTAGCACACATTATTATGAAAATAAGTGACGATGATAACACTTTGATACCAAAATGGAGCAACACCTTTGGAGAGAGGTGCCTCGTGTGACGTCTGATCGAGCAACTCAACTGTATTAATCTTATATCACGGAATGTAAATATTTTGCATTTTGTTTTTTGTTTTGTTTTGTTTTTAAAATTTAAATTTTAAGATAATAAGTAGGGCCAAATTTGGCAAAGGAAAAGTTAAAATTCAAATTGATGATTAGTTTAATCATGCAGTATTTGTTTCAAGGAGAATGGTAAAAAGGAAACAATAAACTTATAAACCCTCATCGAAACGGCGCCGTATTGATCTTCTCCTTCCTCCTAAAAGACAATACAACAGTTTATATGAGCTGGGAGTTTAAACGAAAGCTTGCCTGCCATCTGAATCATCGCATCAATGCACAGATTCTCTTTCTCTCTCTATGACTATAGATGATGTAACGCGCATAATAAGTGCGTCTGCGCGTGAATTGTTGATGTATTCAGTGTTCACGGTCGGAGGAGGAGGCGGAGGAGGAAGAGGAAGAGGCGGAGGAGCTTTGATCTATGACGAAGAAATCGCCGGCGAAGGCGGCGGCGACGGAATTTTTACCGGTGCGGCAGGTGTTGTGGGTGTGGTGGAAATTGGTGATCACGTTGTCACTCGCTCTCTGTGTGTTAGCTTTCCTTAGGCTGCAGCGCTACTCCCCGTCCGATTCCGAGCTCGCCTTTGCTTCCGGTAGATCTCGAACTCCCGACGGGGATTTACGCGGCAATCCTAAGATTGCTTTCCTCTTTCTAGCCAAGACGAATTTGCCGCTTGATTTTCTCTGGGGAAGTTTCTTCGAGGTGAGACGATTTTCGTTACAGTTATTATTATTATTATAATAATAATTATTATTTTTATTAAATTAATTAATTTATTTTTTGAGTGACGATGAAACTCGCAGTCACTAGAGCGTGAATGATTAAATCATGTCTAGTAATCTTAACTGAACCAGCCAGGTCGTTTATAGCTGACTAGTTTAAACTAAAAAGTTAATAGGACTCTCTTTTGAGAGTCAAACTTGTAATTTATGGTTACAGGGTAAATCTCGGCATAGTGATCTTAGCTACAAAGGAACACAAGAGGTAAACCTGTTTAGTTTGTCCATAATTGACTGACTCAAATTAAAAAGACAAATAGGTTGCTTCGTTGAGAGTAGAACTTGTAATATTGAGACCAACTTGGGACTTGAAGAATTTGTTTTAATGTAATATAAATTTCTTGTATCTGCTGTTGGTTAATTCTGATTTCAACTTTCTAAGTAGCCAGCATCTCGATAAAGTTTGGTTCTTGGTAAAAAGCATGGTTATGAATCTTATGATCATGGCTATAGATTTTACTTTCTCGTTTCATTTCAATTGAAATTGAATAATTTTGAGTGAGGAATTGTCAAGCTCACAAATTGTATGCTTCCATTTTTTTTCTCTTTGCAGAATGCTGATATTGCTAACTTTTCAATTTATATACATACGGAGCCTGGATTTGTGTTTGATAAGTCTACTACAAGATCGGCTTTCTTTTATAATCGGCAGTTGAAGAATAGCATTAAGGTAATTCTTTGTGATTATTGATTGCTTAATAGTTCGGGGAACCAAGTTACAAAGCTCCCAGCTTGAATATGATTAGGTAGAAATGTTAACCTTTTACATGGTTTTTGGAATATATTAGAACTGAGAAAAATATGCTACTTGACCATTGTTATAAAAGTGCTTCTTGTTTTGCTTCAATACAACTAGATGCAGTTAGATAATAGCTATATATATCTCTCTCTCTCTGTTTTTTTTTTTGTTTTTTGTTTTTTTGGGTCTTGTGGAGGTTATGTAAATTATTTGCGATTAAGATGATGGCTGGCTTGGTTTCATGGAAACTGCCGAGTTTTGTTGTTTGATTGGTATTGAGGGTGGATGCAGGTAGCTTGGGGAGAATCAAGCATGATAGAAGCGGAGAAGTTATTATTTGCGGCAGCTCTTGGTGATCCGAGGAATCAAAGATTTGTTCTCTTATCAGACAGGTTGGTGCTTTGGCTTGTACTTGTATGTGCTGTGGTTTATGCATGTCCCATGATTGTATTGTCCAACTTATGAAGTAATTAACCTCAATGCGTGCTGACTTGAACTTGTTAAAATACTTCTTATATCAAACGTTCCTCAAAGAGTATGGATGGCAAACACTAAATGGGGCAATGTATGTTTATCAATTCATGACCTTCGTTTCCGTGGACTCTGCTCTCTATAGCTGCTTATGACTTGAAACGTGAAACGATTTTAAAGGCATACTAAATTTTGCAGCTGTGTCCCTTTACACAAGTTCAGCTATATATACAAATATTTGGTGAATTCTCCCAGGAGTTTTGTGGACAGGTAGAATGGATATTGTACTCTTTGCACCCAGGGGTTTTTACGTGTTAATGATCTTGTATTGATAGAAGTGCTACTTGTCTTTCTAGTTTTATTGATAAGAATGATGGTCGCTACAACCCATGGATGACACCATTTATACCGAAGAGTAAATGGCGGAAAGGATCACAGGTAAACTATCTCAGTCTTGTTGTACAAATGTGAATATGATCTCATAACCGTTCTTTGAGCAATTTTTAATCTTAAATGTCTGTTGGAACACCAATCTGATATCTATCACCCTATTGGCTGCCTTGATGAAAGTGAAAATACATCCTGATCAATGCAAACAATAGGGAATTTCAAAAACCGTTTCTTCTACATTCAACTTTGTCTTTAGGTCAGGAACTTGTTCTAAAAGTCCCGACTTTCCTATTGCCTAGATCTGAGATGTAATAGAAGCAACCTGTACTGTTATTAGGTGTAACTAGTAGTTTCAGCCATGTAATTGACATGTGCTTATCACATCATTATACACACACATATAGTTTGTAAACAACGTCATCATTATTGCTATTCACATCGTATCGGCTAACTAACCAATGTAATACTGTTTTACTCTAGTGGATCACTTTAATCCGAAAGCATGCCAAAGTTGTTGCAGATGATGAAGCTATATTCCCAGTTTTCGAGAAGTTTTGTAAGGTACCTGGCATCCACACACACTCTCTTGGAAATAATGGTTTTCCAGCTTGAATTGTATGTGTGTGTGTATAATGAGGTAACTGACTATCTGGCATTACATTCTATTGCCGCCATGCAGAGACGCCCGCCAATGGAGGCCAGTAAGGGGAAACTGAATCTTGTAAGTTGATTTGCTGACTATTCTACGCAGTAAACATAAGAACTTTCCTTCTAAACATTTCCGATTGGTCTGCAAAAGCATACAAATATCTTTATGTATCTTGCATAACTGCTGGTAACTTTCACTACCTTGAATCATCTCGTCTAACCTATGATAAATGTTGCAGAAACTTCAAAAGCAGCACAATTGTATCTCGGATGAACACTACGTGCCGACGTTACTTGAAGTAAGTAATACCGATATATTTATTTGAGTAATTGTATCCCAGATGAGCACTACATCCACTTTTCGCTCCCCAACTATTGAAAACTGGACAAAAGTAATCCTTAAACAGGCCAATGCAGGGACCGTTTCTAATTTACAATCCCACATTTTACTATTTTCTTTACATTTTCCCCACAAATACTTTATTTCGTTTATTCTTCCTTGTTATACAGATGCTTGGACTTGTAGGTGAACTTGAACGCAGAACGGTAACATACACAGTTTGGAACTATTCTGAAACCAAAACAGAAAAAAATTGGCATCCTGTAACGTTTTCCTATAGAGATGCAAGATCTGAGAATATTAAAAAAATTAAGGTGCGTCTATGTTACATATTTCTGACCATCCTTCGTGTTTTGACCATTTTTTATTCTTTCCATCAACATATTAATCATCTAGTATAGCTTACACCCTCCCGTTATTCAACAGGACATCACCAACGTATACTATGACACCGAGTTCAGAACAGAGTGGTGCCGTAATAACCATACATTTGTCCCTTGCTTTTTGTTCGGGAGAAAGTTTTCACCAGCTGCTGCGATGCGCCTTTTGAGTGATGAAGTAGTTAGCCAGTTTGATCCCTCCACCATAATGCACTAATATCCGCCAGTGACTCCTCGCTACTAACACTCTCGAGACATCTCCCGAAGCCTGCTTGCAATGCTCTTCAGCGCTGCACGCCAAATGGGCAACATAGATCAAAGGTAATGTTTTGATCGTGCACGACCCCGAGGTGTGAATGCCCGTTCAACATTCGAGTTAGAGGTAATCGAACCGATGTTTAATGTTTAGCTTGACACAGTTTGAATTAGTTGGTGTTAGGAAATCGTAGAATCGCGCAGCTTGTATGTTCAAGCTGTGGCAAGCATCTTTTACTCCATAGGTTCTTTCTTGTGTATTAGGAAGGAATTGTAGTCTCTTGGATAGTTTTATACCCACAGAAAATGAAACAATGCATTTTCAGTTTTTCTGATCTTCCATTGGTATTCACTGGGAATTACTTTTGCTTTCATCTCTCCCCTTCTGTGCATACATTCACTTAATTACTAAGGGATTCTTTAAGTATTAAAAATATATACAAAACAATTTATTTATTTATTTATTTATTTTTCATATTGTACTTGTATCTGCACTCTTCGAGATGAGACTAATTCAGGTGAATATTGGTTGGGACAGTTCCCCTAAGGTTTTGCTGCATATATATATATATATATATATATATATATATATATATATATACTCAATTTTAACAATTTAATTCAGTCGAGTATTAGTTGGGTCATATTTTGGGACGGTTCTCCTTTGGGTATTACTGCATACATATATAGAATTTATATTTGCATATACTAATTAATTCCACTTAATCTTGTCTTTAATGTTTATATATTGCATCATTTAAAAAAAAAAAACTGTTATATATACATTTTTTAAGAAACCACTGTTATATATACATTAAAATTGAGAAAAAGGAAGATTTCTGGAGTGTCATGCAAGCAATGCATATATCTAACTGAAGTGCAAAATGTGGTCTATATATTATCAATAAAAATAAAATGTAAAAAAAGAGAGTAAAAAGTAGGGGGACAAAATAAGATTACAAAATAGTGTAATCCCATTAATTGGGCAAAAGTTTTTTTTTTTTTTTTTTTTTAATTTTTTTTAATTTTTTTTTTTATTTTATTGATACAAGAAAAGAGTAAAAAATAACTACAAGAGAAGAACTAAACCACTCCGGGATTGACGGCTTGTCAACCTCAACAATGTTCACGAGCGTAAGAGACTTGATACCTTAAAAAGGAAGTTAAAGAAAAAAAGTCCATATTAAAAAAGTCGATTATCGTTTGTCTGAACACCATGTGTGACGGGAGCTTTTGCTCTCACTCTTCTTAGGTACCAAACTCCTGCTCCTAATCCAATTGCCCCTGCCACTGATACTGCTGTAGCTGCACCACCAACCTCACTTTTAGTTACAAAAAAATTACAACTTCTAAACTATAAATGCAATTTTTTTTTTTTCGGTATGACATGGAAAATCGGTCTGCAGTCATTACTCAGAGAGTGTATATTATATAAACCTCGCACATAGGAGAGATTATGGTATGAGAATTATACTCCACTCATACCATAATCCACTAGTTGAGCTGCCATTTCGGGGCATATATGCACCATTTTAATCTTATACTAAAGCATGCATCCTAATACATAAAATGAAAACAACATGCCTCACCTGCTACTACTTTGGACATCTTGTGCCGAGTATCTGCAAAATTGTAGGGTACCAAATCAATGTGAAATGTAAAAAATTAGAAGAATAAAGAGTTAAATTTTGATTTTCTTGAATCTCAATTTAACTTGTGATCAAAATCTATGGCTATTTGGTTGGATGTAGATGCAATTCAATTACAACATAATTCTTTGGCCACCCGAATTACAGTGTTTGGTTGAGAGAATTGCAATTCATACCCTCCCATATGAATTGCAATTCAATGGGAGAAAATGACTTTTTTACCTTGATTATTGTTAGTATTATACTATTATTCCAAAGGCTGAACCCCAACCCTAAGGGCCCCCCACACCCCGGCCCGACAGAGCATTTGGGAGGATGTAAATCATGGTGACTCAACTGAACATGAACCATAGAGGCTAGACCGGTGCTCACTGCGCACAAGAAGCCCCCCCTCACTTTGAGAGGTTGCTCCCACACTGCCGCTGGTGAGACTCGATCCCTGGTCATTATTCCAAAGTTTCACCTCTATTAGTATTATACTATTATTATTACAGAAGGACATTTTAGTTTTTATATCACTTCTTCTCTTCTCTTTCCTAATAATTTTATTCTTTCCTACCAAACAATATAATTTGAATTCCTACTTTATTTATTTATTTTTTTTTTGAGAAAAGCATAGGATCGGAGTTTCATTAATTATCAACCAACGAAGAAATACAGGTCGGTGGCACAAAGAACCACGAACCTAAGGCAGACATACCAAACAATATAATTTGAATTCTTACTTTATTCCTTTTAATGGTAATATTTTTGTAAATTGAATTTTAGATCCCTTTTTGCATATTTTCAAAATTATAAGATTTTTCATGATTAATAAAAAAAAAAAAAAAAAAAGTTTAGTAAGGCCACATACCAAAGCAATTAGTGGTGCTGTTGCCTTTGTCACAAATACACAAGAAATCCTGCGTCTCAATATCAAACCCACACGTCCCGCCGCCCTTAGTAACATCTTGGCACTCCAAGCACTTCGCCGTCACCGGAATATCGAAGTCCACCCGGACGCCGTACTCCGGCACCTGGTTAAACGCCGGCGTGGCGTCCAGGTTCCGCCAGTACACCCCCGTGTACGACGCGCAGTGGCGCAGCATCAGCCTCAGCGACTCCGCCGCCTTGGGGTAGTACGAGCAGCAGGAGCTGCCGCCGCGCAGGGCGGAGGGGCACTCCGGCAGGTGGCGGCACAGGAAACTGGCGCTGTCGCACGTCGAGTCGCACTGCTCCGGGAAGCGCTCGCAGAACGCCGGCTTCGGCTCCACGATCACCTTCTCGCCGCTGCAGTTGAAGAACAGATAATCGTTCTGCGGCGAGAGGCTCAAGTGGGTGCTCGTGTCCAGGCTGAACGGCCTCGTCGGCCTGAAATCCTCGCCGTCCTCGCAGCTCCACATGAACGGATCAGTTACCAGAATGTGCGGGTCGGAATAGCTCACGTTCTTTATCGGGTACCTGCACAAAATTGACATAATATCAGCTTAATTAAATAAAAAAACTATTGAAGATAAGAATTTCCCTAATATATATATATATATATATATATATATATATATATATATATATATATATATATATATATATATATATATATATATAAAATATTAGGGCCAGTAGTGCAAGTTGACTAGACTAGTTTGGTTAGACTTAACACTGCTGGAAATTATTGAATTTCGGACCACCTAAAAGTAATCTTAAATTAAGTCGAAAGCAAAAAGTGATCGGAAATAGCAACAAATGTTTTTTCGGATACAAAAAGTGGTCGGAAATAGCAACAAATGTTTTCCGGATACCAAAAGTGGTTGCTTTCGATTTGATTTAAAATCACTTTTAGGTGATCGAAAATTCCATAATTTCCAGTAGTGTAATAACTAGAAATTGTTAGTCAAATTTTGTGCCAATTATAAATTGGATTAATGAGATAGAAGATTTACAATATACAACACATTCAGTTACTGTAGTCATATTACCAGAAAACACAAAGCAAATAATGGCTAACGGTCTAGCAACACAACAGAAACATTAACTGTGACGGGAGATCAACACGGCTACCGCTTCCAGTAATACGAGATCAAGTTCTCGTATACTATTATTCAGTATGGTTAGATTATTTAGTTCTAACATTGAACAGTAATAAATAAAATCAAAATTATGTCGGTCCAAGCGTACCTCCCGGACGGTGTCCGGAGCTGCAGGTCGCCGGCGGTGCAGGTGATAATGTGGCGGTAGTATGGGCTGCCGCAGCCGTCGTCGATGCCCAAAGGGTACTGAATAGGAATGTCTCCACACCATTTTCTGCAGACATTTTCGTGAGATTTTGCGAGCTGCAGAAATGGGGAGAAGAACAGAAAAATGGCGGCGATGAAAGATGGGGAAGAAGCCATAGATAATGGTTAAGGCCGGAAGGTGAAGATGAAGACTGAGGACTGATATGATATAGTAATAGATAGAGAAGAAGATGTGTATAGTTGAAGAAAAGGTTGCCATAATTGATAAGAAAAGAATCTTTATTTTTCATTTAAATTTTTAGGGTAATAATAACAAATAAGTTTTCACTTTTTTTCTTGCTTTTTCTTTTGAGAAGTATGTGTAGTACTTATGATGGGGGTTTGATTCTTTTGCTTTTTCTTTATTTTGCTTTAGAGATTTCAGGTTTGCAGCGAGCAATGAAGTATTATATATATAGTTTGAGAAATTTTATAGGGGTGTTATTTGGTAAATCACGATTTGATCGATTAATTCAACGGTTTGATTTGATTAAAACAATAGTGTTTTATCATAAAAGAGTTAAAATGAGTCCAGAAAAGGGTGGTTAAATGTGTGAAGTATTTTTGTATAGTTCTTGTATTAAAGAGTCACTAGTTCAATTCGCACATGATTTTTATAGTGCGATTTACTTGTGAAATATTTTTCCAAATATGCGCTAACCTAGATAGTGACTACGTTAACTAAACGCATACTCTTGTTGTCGTTGTTGCTGCTACTGTTGTCGCCACACACATGCGCGCACACACACACACACACACACACACACACACACACACACACATATATATATATATATATATATATATATATATATATATATATATACACTCCCAAATAGCATTGTGGTTGTAGGGTTTTTGGGGTTTTGGGTTTTTTATTTATTTTTATTTTTTTTATTTTTATTTTTGTATTTTTTAGTATTACTGACTCCGTTATAATGTAGTATCTATTCATAGCTACTTTTTCAACCTACTGAAGCATAAAGAGTCATTCTGTCCCACTGGAAATCATGTTTAAATGATTTAAAATTACACAAAACAGGCAACATGCCTAGCTAGACCAAGGGATGCTAAAATTCTAAAAATTTATCTAGAAAATATATATGTTGAAGGGTACCAATCACCTTAAATTCTCGTGCTTAGCTTGTATGATAAAAATATAGTAAGAAAGTCTTTTATTACGTTTGCTCTCTATAAATATGTGCAAATCCCATAACCTATTGTCATCTCAACGTACATTTGCAAGAAACAATCGAACTTGCCAGCAAATTTGCCAAAGGACATAATCGAATACTTAGTAAACAATATGGGGTCCATCCTATTTAACTTATAATTTGGGCTAATAATTAAGTTGAAAAACGTCTGTATATTGAATTGGGCCGCATCACCCAACCAAGTCGAATTGTTTTTGTACGCCAATGCCACCGGCAAATTATGCTCTGCATCCGTATGCACCATACCCATGGTACACGGATGCAAAAACGATGTCGTTTTATTACAAACGCGCCTCTCTCCTTAAAAAAAAAAAATTCATGTTCGATTACCAGCAACAACATATGAACTATAATTTCAGAATCGATGAACTATAATTCCAGAATCTAATCTATGAACTAAAAATTCCAGAATGAATGAACTAAAATTTCAGAATCTATGAACTAAAATTTCAGAATCGATGAACTACAATTCCAGAATTGATGACTATAATTCCATAATCTATGAACTAAAATTCCATAATGCTGTTGCTGGGAATCGAACCTGAATTTTTTTTTTTTTAAGGGGGGACGCGCGTTTTTAATAAAACGACGTCGTTTTTGCAACCGTATGCACCATGCATGGTGCATACGGATGCACAACATAACTACTCAATGCCACCGACAAATTATGCTGTGCAACCGTGTCCACCTTACAAAATTGTTATAATTGTAAATATAGAGTTCAAAAATTATGAACATAGAGTTATGAACATAGAGTTCTATAATTGTGAATATAGAGTTCAATAACTGTGAATATGAAGTTAAAAAATTATGAACATATAGTTTTATAATTATGAATATAGAGTTCAGTAATTATGAATAATTATGAATATAGAGTTCAATAATTGTGAATATGAAGTTAAAAAATTATGAACATAGACTTTTATAATTATGAACATAGAGTTCAGTAATTATGAATATAGAATCGTGTCCACCTTATAAGGTGAACACAGTTCCACAGCATAATTTGCAACCTCTTTAGCTTCCAAACCCTTCAATATATATAGGGGCCGCATGATCAAATTAAAAGAAAACAATTCTTATAAAAAATAGGATTGATCTCAACCGTCCATCATTAAAATTTATCAGTGATTGTAGATTTTAACCTATTTTCCATCATTACCCTATATATATATATATATATATATATATATATATATATATAATTTCATGGACTTCATTTTCTACTAGCCAAACACTTAAAAATGTGAAAAAATGACTTCAGCCTATTTCTACTACACATGCATTAATTGTGATCAGTTAATAATGGTTTAGTATAACCTTAGGGTGCGATTGAGGGGAAGGGGATCATCCATCCTTAATCAAAGATCAAGGGTTCTCCTCACCAAAAAAAAATAAAATAAAATAAAAAAATCAAGGGTTCTATCATTAGTTTTGGGTATGTGGATTAGTCACTTTGTTCGACAATGAAAAATCTGAATTACTCCAAAAAAAATACTGGTTTAGTATGGACAGGTATAACAAATTAAACACTAGCTACATATTCTAAGTACATAGTATCATTGGTTATTCCAATCAATTTTGAAAATAGACCTTAGCGTCAGTTCTCTAAATCACTACAAAGGTAATTAGTGAGAATTATAACCAAGTACTAAGTGACACTAACTAGACACCTTTATAAATTGATACTAGACATCATTATTTTTTTTTGAAATATTAATTTTACTGTAGTAAAAATCATAATATGCAACTATGCAAGAGTGGGTTAAGTTTTAGACTTTTAGTGATGTGTAAGTTGTAAAGTCAAGAAGGTGATTTCAGACATGGAAAATTGAAAGCTGGCATTATTATATTCTTAAATATTAATTAATGAAGATTAGGTAATTGAAAACCTAGTTTTGGACGCTAACGTAGCCACTCTTTGTCTCGTCAAACATTATATTTAGCGCACACGGACGGGTGTCGAAAAGTGAACGCAAAATTCTGCATGGACGACGACCTTCCAATTTCTCTCTCACGCGCACACAAAATTAGGTTCACGTGAAAATCTGTGAACAAATCTAAATGATTTAACACTCAAAATGGTCCTCGACTATAGTGGTTTTTCTTAATTTCGTCCTAAACGATTTTAGTGACCTAATATCGTCCCAGACTTTTGTGTTTCGCTCAATTTATATAGGGGCATGCTCTAATGCGAACGACTGTTCAGGAGAGAAATAAGAACCATTTACAGCTGTCCACGTGTCCAGATCAATGAATCAGATGTAATTTTTAAAAAACGCGGTGACATTTTCGTAAATAACTCAAACTTTGATGCAAGTAAATGTGTTATGAGTGCAAGTAGTTGGTGCACCTTTGCAAGTAAAAAGTGCAAGTAATACATTTTACTTATCATTTCGATGGACAATTATTTATGAAAATGCTACCGCATTTTTTTAAAAAAAAAATCAGTGTTTCTCATCCGTTATATATGGACATGTGGACGGATGACATGCGTTCTCATTTCTTTTCTGGGCGGGCAGTTCGCACCTGATAGAATCATATGCCCCGGAAAAAAAATGAGAATCCATCGCAGCCATCCATTTGTATATTTAACTGATCAAATACACTTTTTTAATTAAAAAATTTAGTGTTGTAAATAATTATAATTTTGAAGGGCAAGTAAATTGTATTAAAATGACAAGTAACAATTTTATAAAGTGCACCGAAGTGCAAGTAAAATGTATTAAAAGCCAACTAAAATGTATTACAAGTACAAATATATAATATACACTGAACAACAATATTAAGTGCACATAACGATATCATAAGGTGCACCAATGTGAAAAGATAAATTGTTTGCACTATTAAGTAATATTACGGCTCAAGTGCCATTCCGCACCATGAACCAATAGCGATTTGTCATGCCGCACCATGACCTTTCATAACTGCCAATTCGATGCACAAACTAAAATTTTTTTGTCGTCTAACATTTTTTACAGGTTTCCAGGTAAACCTAATGACATGAGCCGGTAGTATTGACATGTAAGCATTTTTATTTTTATTTAAAAAAAAAAAAAAACTGACACCATCGTAGCCTTCGCCTCTGTCATCCCTTTTGCTCTCTTTCTCTCTCGTTGTCGGGCGTTCCTTTCCGGCGAAGCAAGTAGCCAGCGACAATGGCCAGCTCCCCTCCCTTCTCGTGCTTCTCTCTTTATCTTCGCCCCCTCTTCCCCGTTAATGGTAGCACGGGGCCGATGATAGCAGTGGATGGCGGTGGTTGGCGGCGTCTAGAAGCAGCGATGGGATGAGCTCCGCCCTTTTCCCCTCTCCTCTCATCTGAACCGGTTGTCTCCAGAAAGCCTCGTCTCTGGTCACAAGGAGTTCATTGGCAGCAAAACCAGTGATACCGTGAATTATATTCTGTTCTGCTCATCATTGGTCCAGTTGTTGATTTAGCCATGGATTTTAATCTGATTCCTCTAAGTGCTTAATAGCCAAAGATGAAAGTAAATTTGAAATGGCCATGGCCGCCGCTGCCGCCCCTTCCCTCCTCCATACCTGCACAGTTCAACAACCTCGAGCTATACTCAGTAGAATCCACGCATGTTTCCACTTCGCCGCCATTCTCGCTTTGCTCTACTACAGATTCTCAACCTTCTCCAATGGCGGCGTTCCGCGGCTTTCATGGACGCTCGTCACCTTCTCAGAGTTCATCTTCACCTCAGTATGGGTTTTCACGCAGGCGTTCCGGTGGCGCAGTTCGTGAGGCCGGTGAATCTGCCTGCACGGAGCGAGGAGTTTCCCGAGGTGGACGTGTTCGTATGCACGGCGGACCCGAGTAAGGAGCCGGTGGTGGAGGTGATGAACAAGTCAATAAAAAAACATATCCACATCAGCAATTTATAACCGGAAACTTAATAGTAACCTGTAAAAAATGCTAAGCGACAAAAAAATTTTGGTTTATGCATCGAATCGGCAGT